AAACCCTAAAGACTCCATACAAAAACTACTAGAACTGATAAATTCAGCAAGGTAGCAGGATACAAGACTAACACACAGAAATCTGTTGCATTTCTTTACACTGACAATGAAATATCAGAAAGGGAAAGTTAAAAAGTCCTTTTTAATATCACATCAAAAAAATAAAATACTTAGGAATAAACCTGAACAAGGAGTAGAGGGAGACAAGATGGCAGAGCAGAAGGACACTGAGCTCACCTGCTCTTACGAGCACACTAAAATCACAACTAACTGCTGAACAACCATTGATAAAAAGGACTGGAACCTACCAAAACAAGATTCTACATCCAAAGACATAAAAAAGAAAACATGAGACAGTAGGAGGGGTGCACTCATGATATAATCAAATCCCATACTGCCCGGGTGGGCAACCCACAAACTGGAGAATAATTATATCAGAGAAGTTCTCCCACAGGAGTGAGAGCTCTGAGCCCTACATCAACAGAACATACGGCTTTGAAGGCTAGTAGGGCTTGATTGCAGAAGCTCCACAGGACTGGGGGAAACAGAGATTCCACTCTTGGAGGGTGCAGACAAGGTCCCATGTGCACCAGGTCCCAGGGCAAAGCAGTGACTTACATAGGAGCCTGGGCTAGACCTACCTGCTGGTATGGAAGGGTCTCCTAGGGAGGCAGGGGTGGCTGTGGATCTCTCTGGAGTCATAAAAGCTAGTGGTGGACACAGCGGGGACCTATGTGAACTCTTGTTGGAGGCAGACATTTTGGGTCCTTGGCACTGAGACCTGGCCCCATTCAACAGGCTATTAGCTCCAGTGCTGGGACACCTCAGGCCAAACAACAAAGGTGGGAACACAGCCCCAGCCATCAGTAGACAGGCTGCCTAAAGTCATCCCGAGCCCAGTCACCTCTAGCCACACCCCCTCACACAGCCCTGCCCACCAGAGGGCAAAGACCCAGCTCCAACCACCAGCCCCTCCCACTAGGAAGCCTGCATAATGGCTAGAGCAGTGTCAGGGGTCAGACACCAGAAGCAAGGAAACTACGATCCTGCAGCCTGAAGAACTAAGTCCACAAACATAGGTCAGAACCTAACCTGGGACCAGTTGGTCCCTGGCCCTTGACTGATGAGAGGGGAGTATACTGTTGGCATGTATAGGACTTCCCCTTCAGGGGATCACTTATCCAAGACTGAGAAATGTAACTAAGCTACTACATACATAAAAATAAAAACAGAAATTTAAACACAATGAGTTGGCATAGGAATATGTTCCAGACAAAGGAAGAAGATAAAACTCCAGAAGAACAACTAAGCAAAGTGGAGATAGCCAATCTACCTGAGAAAAGAGCTCAGTGTAATGACCCTAAAGATGATACAAGAACTCGGGAAAAGAATGGATATATAAAGTGAGAAGTTACAAGTTTTTAGCAAAGAGTTAGAAAATATAAAAAATAACCAAACAGAGTTGAAGAATACAATAACTGAAATGAAAAAACACACTAGGAAGGAATCAATAGCAGAATAAGTGATGCAGAAGAATGAATCAATGAGCTGGAAGACAGAGTGGTGGGAATCACTGCCACAGAACGGAATAAAAAAGAATGAAAAGAAATGAGGACAATTTAAGAGACTTCTGGGACAACGTCAAACACACCAACGTCTGCATTATAGGGGTCCCAGAGGAGGAGAGAGAGAGAAAGGACCTGAGAAAATATTTGAAGAGATAATAGCTGAAAACCTCCCTAACACTGGAAAGGAAACAGTCACCCAAGTCCAGTAAGTGCAGAGTCCCTTACAGGATAAACCCAAGGAGGAACACGCCAAGAAACATAGTAATCAAATTGACAAAAATTAAAGACAAAGAGAAAATATTAAATAAATACAAGGGAATCCCCATAAGACTATCAGCTGATTTTTCAGCAGAAGTTCTGAAGGCCAGAAGGGAGTGGCATGATATATTCAAAGTGATGAAAGGGAAAAACCTACAACCAAGAATACTCTACCCAGCAAGGCTCTCGTTCAGATCTGACAGAGAAATCAAAACCTTTACACAGAAGCAAAAGCAGAAAGAATTCACTGTCACGAAACCAGTTTTACAACAAATGCTAAAGGAACTTCTCTAAGTGGAAAAAAGGGCACAACTAGAAACTAGAAAATTAAAAATGGGATGGCTCACCAGACATTTAGAGAAGAGTTAACACCTATCCTTCTGAAACTATTCCAAAAAACTGCAGAGGAAGGAACACTCCCAAACTCATTCTATGAAGGCACCATCACTCTGACACCAAAACCAGACAAAGATATCACAAAAAAAGAAAATTACAGGCCAATATCACTAATGAACATAGACATGAAAATCCTCAACAAAATACTAGGAAATCAAGTCTAACAATACATTAAAAGAATCATATGTCATGGTCAAATGGGATTTATCCCAGGGCTGCAAGGATTTTTTAACATCTGCAAATCAATCAGTGTGACACACCACATTAACAAATTGTTAAATAAAAACTTTATGATCATCTCAATAGTTGCAGAAAAAGCTTTCGATAAAATTCAACATCCATTTATGATAAAAACTCTCTAGAAAGTGGGCACAGAGGGAACCTACCTCAACATAATAAAGTCCATATATGACAAACCCACAGCAAACATCATTCTCAATGGTGAAAAACTGAAAGCATTTCCTCTAAGATCAGGAACAAGACAAGGATGTCCACTCTTACCTCTATTATTCAACACAGTTTTGGAAATCCTAGCCACGGCAATCAGAGAAGAAAAAGAAATAAAAGGAATACAAATTGGAAAAGAAGTAAAACTGTCACTGTTTGCAGATGACAGAATACTATACATAGAAAATCCTAAAGATGCTACCAGAAAAATACCAGAGCTCATCAATGAATTTGGTAAAGTTGCAGGATACAAAATTAATGCACAGATATCTCTTGCATTCCTATACACTAATGATGAAAAATCTGAAAGAGAAATTAAGGAAACACTCCCATTTCCCATTGCAACAAAAAGAATAAAATACCTAGGAATAAACCTACCTAGGGAGATAGAAGATCTGTATGCAGAAAACTATAAGACACTGATGAAAGAAATTAAAGATGATACAAACACATGGAGAGATATACTGTGTTCTTGGACTGGAAGAATATTGTCAAAATGACTGTACTACCCAAGGAAATCTACAGATTCAATGCAATCCCTATCAAATTACCAATGGTATTTTTCACAGAACTAGAAAAAAAATTAATTTGTATGGAAACACAAAAGACCCCAAATAGCCAAAGCAATCTTGAGAAAGGAAAATGGAGCTGGAGGAACCAGACTCCCTGACTTCAGACTATACTACAAAGCTATAATCATTAAACAGTATGGTATTGGGACTTCCCTGGAGAGTGGTGGTTAAGAATCTGCCTGCCAACGCAGGGGACGTGGGTTTGAGCCCTGATCCAGGAAGATTCCACATGCCGCGGAGCAACTAAGCCTGTGTGCCACAACTACTGAGACTGCTCTCTAGAGCCCGTGAGCCACAACTACTGAGCCCTCGTGCCACAACTACTGAAGCCCGTGCACGTAGAGCCGTGCTCTGCAATAAGAGAAGCCACCACAATGAGAAGCATGCACACTGCAATGAAGAGTAGCCCCTGCTTGCTGCAACTAGAGAAAGCCCGCACGCAGCAACGCAAACCTAACACAGCCAAAAATAAATAAATAAAATAAATTTATTAAAAAAAAAGAGTTGTTTGAGAAAGTACTTGGCAAAACATTATGCATTATAAAAGTATCATATGTCATCATTACAACAGTGCATCCTTTATTCCTTTCCCTAAATATCATTGGATGCTGAATATATTTTATATATAAATATAAACTTCTGTGTCACAGTTGTTACAGGATTTTCCAGTTACTTGAAAACAATATCTGAGCCTTGTTAAATTATTCTCTGCCCTAGCATGGAAGGGAGAGGAATGAACCTGGATTCTCCCTAGTTTGGGGGCTTGGCGAGGGTCTCATCCATAAGCTTCCAGGGAAAACTTCTGCAACGAGATTATTCATACCCTGGAAATCTAATGAGCTTTCAGGTTTTGGTTTGAGTAGCAAAGAAAACATTGAAAGGATGAAGCTACAAAAATAGAGCCAATCTTTCCAAGATCATTCATGCCACGCCCAGGTTTCCTGGCACATCCTGGCCATGGCAAAAAGGCACCAATTCACAGCAAAGTTGTTGGAAACTGTGTGTGGTGGCCATTCCTCCCACAGCTCTGAGGTAATGCTCTGGCAGGTGCTTCCTGCAGCTGCAGGGAAGAGCTGGTTTTCTGGAAAGGCTTGGACCATTTTTTGGGGTCATGAAAAGGGCTCTGGCATAATACTGAAAGGCTGAAAGGTATGGTTCAGACTAAAGACATGTCAAAAAGGGGTTAAAGGAAGTAGGGAAGTCAAGGAAAATTCTTTTTGGTTTTGCTTATTAGCAGACACTGAAGGTCCCTAGCAGAGATTCCTTGGGACCCATAGCCACCATGCTGGACAACTTCAGGGGCAGTGTTTACACTGTGTGCTCTGACGTCCTCCAGGAAGCACCATTCACACAGAATACAAGGTAAATGGTGCACCCAGCTTTTGTGCAACAGGACCTTGTCGGGGCCAAATCCTGCAAGAGCCAAACCTCTAGTAACAAACAAAGCCTCAGTTCCTACTCTAGTTTTCTCACCAATTCCTTCCAAAAACAAACCAATGAACAAATAAAGCACTGTAAAGATCCAGCCAAAATCTCAGGAGGGACATTAGATGATCAGTGTTTCCAGAAGTGTACCATTTAAAATCCTAAGTATGCAGAGGATGATGTCTTTATAAGGAAAGCAGGTTTGTAGTTAAAATGTATGGTTGATCATTTATTTTCCTTCTTTCCCATTTAATTTGGGTCTAATAATCCCTACTACCTGTTATATCCAAAGAGTCTCAGGAAAAATATAAAAGAAAAGAACCTGGTACTTTACTTTTAAATAAATTCTGAAGTCCCCTCTCTGTTTCAGACTCTCAAGATAAAAGACAGCAGCTGAGTAATTCAGGCAGTAGGTCTGGTGGCTCTGACACAGGCTTCCTTGGAAATACTGCAAGAGGAGAAGGGCAGAAGGAGAATGAATGGAAGCAAAGAGAGCACAGACAGACTTTCTCTTTCTCTTCACTTTTATCAGCAACTAGAACAGGGAAAGTGGAGGAGGCACCATTATCAAGTAGGAGCTATGACTGCATGGATAGTAACAGGTAATCTTCAAAATAAACATTGTTTAAAAAAACCCCCGATATCCCCATAATAAACAGTTAACTCCTCAATAAGTTGCCGTTTTTTTTTGCCCATAAAGAAAATTCTATTTAGGACATATTGATTTAATCCACCCTTGCACTTATGCTTTGTTGAGGCCTACACACACTGCATGGAACCTGACAACAAACACTTCCTTTGGTTTCACTGCTCATGTTGTTGATGTCAAGCTTGTGTTCATAGTAAGTGATTAAAGTAACAACATTTGACCTTTCACTAAATCTTCCTCAAAAATATCCGCATACTGAATTCTCCTTCCAGCTTCTAAAAATAGAGAGTCAAATTTGGGGCACCTCTACTAAATGTAGTTTTGTAGCGTGCGTTCTATGTGCTAGGCTTACCCAATCTAACACTTGTGTTCTTTCTTCATTAGGCTTGTGTAATGCCTTAAACTTGCTATAATGACTACACATTCGTAAGCCATATCAAATTTATTTTAAAATGAGGCAAGTGGCCAATTCGTATGTATACATTCATGTGTATAATGGTCAAACTGGGCACACTGCACAATGTGCCGCCATCTCAGTTAAGTGTCTGTCTTGGGAATGACAGTTATTCTTTTCTCTTCACCAATGTCTCTGGCTCCTTACTGGCAAACACTTTCTTTAGGAATCCATAGTGCCTACCACATTGCTAAGCCTACGTGCTCCTTGATAGGTTTATTAATTAGTATAATGAGTAATGGGTCCCATTAGGGAATTTCCAATAGTGGCATAATGTGGTGAATGGGAGAAGGAAGACGCACTTGCTGGTAACATTACAACTGCAGTGAGTAGAGACAGCAGACCAAGCCTAACAGGCCAGTAAAGGAAGTGACAGTAGTAAAGGCAGAAATAACAAAAACCTAGAAAAATATTTTGCTATAGGACCTCAGAGGACAAAACGCTATGGGGGGAAATGTCAAGTTTTGCCTTCAAGAAGAAGTAATTTGAAAGCTGATAATGTGAATTAATTTTTTCCTGGGGGGTTGGTGATAGCTGGGGGATTGGAAGTAAACAGAAGGTCTTCTCACAGGTCACCTTGAGATGCTTGAGAAAGGCCATTACAAGGAGCCTGCTGTGAAGACCATAAACAGTCAGGCTTAGAAATGCAGCTCTACAACCCACTGGCTATGTGAACTTGGCCAAGTGATTTAACTTCTCCAAGCCTCAGCTTCCTTCTCAGCAACTTCTCAGATGGCTTTTGTGTGGACAACAAACGTCCCAATCTTCCACTGGTGAGCTTCTTGTGAGACACCGTGGTAGACTGTTATCACTGCTCATCTAGTTCCCTTTCCTAGGGAGGAATACATATGCCCACTCCACCGAGGGTAAGATTGGCCATGTGACTTTCTTAGGCCGATGAAATGTGAACAGACCTGCCAGAAACTTGAAGAGTCAGTAAGAGCTCTGCCCCAGTCTCTTACGTCTTTGCCCTTGAGACTGGTTACATTTCAGGTGGTGGGTGCTCCCTCAGCAGCGGTCCCAGAGCGAGGACAAAGTAGGAGCAGAGCGTAAGTGAGATATGAAACCAAGCCACTGAGATTTGGAGTTTGTTCCTGTGGTATAACTGAAATTAACCTGACTCATGTAGGCCTTTTTAAATTTAAGAAAAACTTTTATAGCCCATCTTTACACATCTGTAATGTAACAGGAAGCATTCATATGTGGGTATTATTATTGACTTTCAGCAAAGAGTCCATGCTGTAGTAGGGTGTAAGTGCACTTATGCTATAGTCTGAATATGTGTGTTCCCCTCAAATTCACATGTTGAATCCTAACCCCCAACGCGACAGTATTAGGAGGTGGGCCCTTTAGGAGATGATTAGGTCATAAAGGTGGAGCCCCCATAAATGAGATTAATGCCCTTATAAAATAGGCTCCAGACAGCTGTCTAGCCACTTCCGCTATGCAAAGGATACAGTAAGAGGTCTTTGACCGGAAGAGGGCCCTCACATGACCTGGGCACCACCCTGATCTCAGACTTCCACCCTCCAGAACTGTGAGAAATTGATTTCTGTTGCTTATAAGCTACCCAGCCTGTGGCACTTCATTATAGCAGCCTGAGCAGACTAAGACAACTTACGTGTTTTGATGAGAAGCTGACATTTCTTCAGACTATTTGCTAAAAACTACATTAAAAATAAGTTCTAGGATGCCAGGTCTTGGTGCTAATGTCCCAAGCAAGATGCCAGCCTTTAGATGAGTATTCCCGGATATATTTGCCACCAGCTTCTATGTCCCAAGCAAAAGCCACAAAATGAAACACCCAATATAATGGGTGTTTATGCTCTTTTGTGCTTCCACCCATTACCATGAGAAGAGGATGACCAGGCTAGTGCACTGATCCAAGGAGACGGATAGAGCCAAGTGGAGCAAAGCCTGCCAGTTGTCCTAGCCTTTGATGGAGTAAAGAAATTATCAAGAAAACCAAGGGAACTTCAGACCTTGAACCAATACACATCCAAATATTCATGTCCATTATGTAACTTACTAAGGGCTCTGCCCCTTTGTCTAACAAAAACAAAAAATGTGTAGCATGTGATGGTCCTACAAGAAAGATAATTTCTGACTCTAAAGGAATTGAGAGAGTCTGAGATTTTAGGTAATTCCCAACACTTTACATTCTTTCTCGTTTTTCAAAGCTTTTCTTATTCTAATCTGCTTTCGAAGGTCACTGAAGATCTCCCCACTTTATACCTAATTTTTGCTTGTTTTGCCTCTTGTTAAACTGTCCTTCTTCATATCTCACCTCAAGCATCATCGCCCCAGGAAGAATTTCCTGTCTGTAACTACTTCACCATTTGCCCCAACCTAGAAGTTTTCCTTCATAATATCTATGTTCCTTTTTTCCCCAGCATTGATCTCAATTTGATTATATAATCATTAGTGTCATCAGTGGATTAATTTCTTCCCCACTAGACTGAAAACTCCCCCAAAGCAGGGGGCGTGTCTAATTCTGCACATTACTGTGCACAGGGTATCAGTCCCACACATAAGTACTTAGTAAGTGCTCAATAAACCTCAATCTATGGGTTTTCTTTGTTTTATTTTATTGTGGTATGCGGGCCTCTCACTATTGTGGCCTCTCCCGTTGCGGAGCACAGGCTCCGGACGCACAGGCCCAGCGGCCATGGCTCACGGGCCCAGCCGCTCCGCGGCACGTGGGATCTTCCCGGACCGGGGCACGAACCCGCATCCCTTGCATTGGCAGGCAGACTCTCAACCACTGAGCCACCAGGGAAGCCCCAATCTATGTTTTTTTAAATAGACTGTAACAATTTAAATCTTGCTAAATGAGCATAGATAGGGACTGCATTAAAAAGCTCAAAGTAGGGGAAGAGGTTCAAATACCTACTTAAGAAAAACAAGAGCATTTATCAGACCACGGGGTACAAGTTTTCCTCTTTTCTCCTCCTTTCATACACAGAAGTCTTATTAAGGGTGTTAATGGATTTGAAGGTTTATTTTGTTCCTTTCAGAGAGCCTGCCACTTTTGTTAGAAGAACAACTGAACCATGTAATTAGCCTACACAAACTACTGCCATGAATACAGCTTTAAATTGAAGTCATTTGAAAACCAGACTTGAAAATGGCTTTTCCATGCATGCAGATTTTTGTCTTAATAAAACCCACACAGGAGAGATGACAATGGAGAAACAGATTCTGCAAGTTATTTCTGAAAATGTTGATTGGTGGGGAAAGGGATAGTTCCCCTGTGGGAGGGTGCAGGTGGAACCTTCCCAGGAACAACAATAACAATTAAGGAGATATAAACGACTATCCTGAGAGGTAGGTGAATTTATCACATAGAAGCTGAGATCTCCCATAAGGATTTTACCTTTGTGAGCACAGAAATGAAATCCAACGATGGTAAAGTCTCAGAAGTGTCGACATAGTCCTTGAAGATGTGGAAAAGACTGTTCACAAAACCAAAGCTTGTCTAGGGCCAGAGAGAAAGAAAACAAGAGTAGGTATACTTCCAGGGGTAAGAAATAAAAATCTGATGAACTTCAAATGTCATTCTCACAGATGTTTTCCATTTCAAATTTATCTCCTGGCAAAATTCAAAGATTTATTTTCCTCTACTTTCCAATATATATTTTCTTATAAGTTTTTCTTATAAATGAATTCTTGTTGGTACCTCACTTCCTTTTTTTAGAGGAACGATATTATTTATAATGTATGTGAGAAAGAACGTTCATTTGAGAATAGACATTTATGGTGATGATGGAGATCTTAGGATTTTTTTTTTTGTATTTAACATCATTTATTGAGAAAATTCATGTATTCAACATTACTTATTGAGTACTCCCATGTACTTAGCACTGTTCAAGGTCTTCTGGATACAGCAGTGAACAAGATGGATTCCTGAGCATATTCTAGAAGGTGTTCAGAGCTTGTATTCTAGAGAAAATATGGAACATTTCCCAAATTTTTGTGTCATCCTTGCATAGGAACCATGCTAATCCTTCATCGCTCC